ACAGATGCAATCCTTGTTTAGCTTCCATGAAACCCTAGAAGTGGTTACCGACGGCGTTCCTGCGTTGGCTGTAAATGCAACCGACGAACAGAAAAAAGCCCACAACAAAGTCAAGAAGAAAGATTGCAGGGCTGCTTATTGCATTCAAATGGCTGTCGATGTTGCTAACTTCGACAAAATCTCTCATGCTGAAACGGCGAATGAGGCATGGGATATTCTGGTAAAGTATTTCGAAGGAGGTGAGAAAGTCAAGATTGTCAAATTACAAACCTTGCGTCGATAATATGAGTTGTTATCGATGGGAGAAGATGAAAAAGTTGCAGAATATGTGTCGAAGGTTCAGAAACTCGTTCATCTCATGAAGGATTGTGGTGAAACCATTACTGATAAGATGATAGTTGAGAAGGTAATGAAAATGTTGACCTCTCACTTTGATCACGTTATCGTAGCTATTCAATAATCCAACAATCTTGAAACCCCTAAAGTGGAAGATTTAGTTGGTTCGTTGGAGGTGCATGAGATGAGGATTGTCGAAAGGAAAGGAGTTCATGATTTGATGCTGGCACTGCAAGCTCAGTCATGAAAAAAGGATGGTGGTTCCAACAAATTCAAAGGCAAGTTCGACAAGACTCGTGGCAAGAAGTCTTGGTTGAATCCCCATCAGAATAAGGTCGAAGATAGATCTTCTAAATCCTCGAAAAGGGGATGAGGAAACTATCGAAAGGACAAAGAAGATAAGAAAGGCATGCAGTGTTATAACTGTGAAAAGTGAGGACACTTGGCCAAGAATTGTTGGTACAGAAAATACAAGGGATCGAAAGGCAAGAACGAAGGAGAGAACCTTGCACGCCAAGATTCAGATGACTCTGAACGTGGTATGGTGGTTATGGCTGCAGTTGCAGATAACTATGTCGAATCCAAGATCTGGTTTCTCGACTCAGGATGCTCGAACCACACGACTAGTCGAAAGGAGCGGTTGGAAGATTTTGACAAGTCGAAGAAAAGCAAGGTAAAACTTGCTAATAATAGTTCATTGCAAGCAGAAGGTACTGGAAACATAGTCTTTCAAATAAGTAATGGAGGGAAAGCTATGATCAAAGATGTGTTCTATGTACTTGGAATGAAATGCAACTTTCTAAGTGTTGGACAACTAGTCGAAAAAGGTTTCTCAGTTGTCATGAGAGATGGAGTTTTGAAATTGTTCGACACCAAGAATAATTTGGTCTTAAAATCTCCAATGTCGGAGAATAGGACATTTAAGACTATGATCAGCTCGACAGAAGTTCAATGTTTGAAAACTGTTGTCGACCACAAGGATAGTTGGTTGTGGAATTTGCGATTTGGACATTTGAATTTTCGATCACTTAATCAACTGATTACTCAAGATATGATTACTGGTATTCCAAGCCTTGAGATGCCTGAAAAACTTTGTGAAGGTTGTTTAGTGGAAAAGTAATCCAAAAATTCTTTCGTTTCGACTATGTCAACGAGATCATCCTGCATTCTCGAAGTGGTGCATTCAGATGTATGTGGTCCATTCGAAGAATATACAATTGGCGGAAACATATATTTTGTTTCATTTGCCGATGATTTTAGTCGAAAATTATGGATCTATGTGATCAAACGAAAGGATGAAGTATTCGAAATCTTTAAAAGATTCAAGATACTTGTCGAAAACAAGAGTGAGAAGAAGATCAAAGTTCTGCGAACAAATGGAGGTGGCGAATACACATCCAAGATGTTTGAAGATTTTTGTGCAGAACATGGTGTTGATCACGAGGTAACTGCTCCTTATACACCTCAACATAATAGAATTGCTGAAAGAAGAAACATAACCGTATTAGATATGACGAGATGCATGCTGAAGCAAAAGAATTTGCCAAAGTCTTTATGGGGAGAAGTTGTTTCGACTGCAGTTTATATTTTGAATAGATGTCCTACTAAGATATTGAAGAACAAGGTTCTTGAAGAAGTGTGGGGTGGAAAATGATCATCAATAATTCATTTGAAGGTGTTTGGCTCTATGTGTTACAAGCTTGTTCCTGGTGCAAAGAGAAGGAAGCTTGATGACTAGAGTGAACCTATAATTTTGGTAGGATATCATAAAGCTGGTGCATACAGACTATTCAATCCAGTTAATGAGAAGATTGTGTTGAGTCGAGATATTGTGATTAATGAAAATTCTGCCTGGGATTGGAATTCTAGCAATTTAATTAACAAGCCATTAATGAAATTTGATTTCGACGAAGAAACTATTGAAGTAGAGGTCGAAGGAATTATTGAGAATCCAGTTGAAGGAATTGTTGAGAATCCAGTCGAAGTCGAAGAAGAAACAGTTGCTAACACTTCCGACACAGTCGAAGTCGAAGAGGTTGTGGCTGAAACAAGCTAAAGACCTCAAAGAAATAGAGTTCTTCCAACAAGACTTCATGATTATGAAGTGGTGGGTGATGATGAAATCACATCAGATGGAGAATTAGTTCATTTTGCTTTATTTGCAGGTGCTGAACCAATCAACTATAACGAAGCTTTGAAGATTAACAAGTGGAAGTTAGCTATGGTCGAAGAGTTACGGGAAATCGAAAGAAATAACACATGGGAGTTAGTCGAATTGCCAGCACATACAAAAGCTATCGAAGTAAAATGGGTGTTTAAGTTGAAACACAACACAGATGGGTCAATAACAAGACATAAAGCAAGATTAATAGCTCAAGGTTTTCTTCAAAGAGCAGGACTTGACTACTCTGAAGGAAGCGAGTAAAGTATATAGATTGCACAAAGCGCTTTATGGTCTCAAGCAGACACCTAGGGCATGGAACAAGAATATCGATTCATACTTAGTCGAATTGGGATTTGTCAAATGCAAATCAGAGTATGGTGTCTATGTTCAGGTTCTAGCACAAGATATAACAATCATCTGCTTGTATGTTGATGACTTGCTAGTAACTGGAAATAGTTTGGAGAACTTTTCAAAGTTCAAAGAGCTGATGATGAAGGAATTTGAAATGTCGGATCTAGGAAAAATGTCTTATTTTCTAGGCATGGAATTTCAAATGTCGAAGCAAGGTATGGTGCTACATCAAAGAAAGTATGTCAAAGAGATACTCAATAGATTCAGAATGGATGATTCGAATCCTGCATCCTCACCTGTCGAACCAAATGTGAAGTTGGAGAAGAATGGAGAGGAAGACAAAGTCGATGCAACTTTGTTCAAGCAAATCGTGGGATCTCTGAGGTATGTGTGCAACATTCGATCTGATATAGGTTTCGCAGTCGGATTAGTAAGTAGATATATGGGTTAACCAAGAGTGTCACATATGAAGGTTGCAAGAAGAATCCTGAGATATTTGAAGGATTCAATAAATTATGGAATACTATTTCGACGAGATTCTAAAGGCAAAGAAGCAAGAGTTAATTGTTTTTCAGATGCTGATTGGTGTGGAGATAAGGAAGATCGAAGAAGCACAACTGGATATTTCTTTCAAGTATTTGGTGCCTCAATCTCATGGTGTTCGAAGAAGCAGCCTGTGGTGGCATTGTCATCATGTGAAGCTGAATATATATCAGGATCATATGCTGCATGTTAAGCAATTTGGATCAGATCTGTACTTGAAAAAATGACCGTCGAAGTGAAGAAACCTCTAGTATTGAAAATCGACAACAAGTCAGCCATAAATCTGGCAAAGAATCCAGTTCTGCATGGAAGAAGTAAATATATTGAAGCAAAGTTTTACTTCTTGAGGGAAAAAATAAATCAAGGTGAACTTGAAGTTAGGCATTGCTCAAGTGAAGTACAGTTGACCGACATTTTCACCAAAGGATTGAAGATCGATAGATTTCTGAATTTGAGAAAGAAATTAGGAATAATTTAGATTGACTATTTTTGAGGATGTTCGACAACTTGGATTATGGAGGTGTGTTGAAATATTAAATTAGATTTGATTAGATTTAATATTTAAAGATAATCCAAGTTGTGTTAATTAAGATTGTATATAACTAGTCATAGTGTGTATCATTATTTATACAATTGAATAATACATATCCTTATTTCCTTTATTATTCTTTCTTTCTCTCCCCGCTAAAAATATCTCACGCACTAACAGTTTTTAATATAAAAAGAAAATCAAAATAATACATTGGGATGCGTTAATGATATAGGAAATAGAATTTAAATTACAACTCTTTATTTGTCATATAACTAAAATTTGACTATAAATATAAATATGTAAAGCTATTAAATTTTTTATTTGACAATAATTATAAACAAATTTTTAATTTTATTTAAGAAAAAGATAAATACATATATCTAAGAACTCAAAATTAAATATCTAAAGCATAAATAAATGTCAAAATGACATGGGAATCAAAATAAAAATTAAACTATTATTAATATCTTTTAGATTTTTTTTTAAATTTGCAAAACTAAATATCAGAAACATTCTCAATTTACAAACATATATATTTTCTTTTAAATAAAAACATTAAAGTTTAGTATAAAATAAATTAAAACTAATTAAGAATGCAAGTCTCAATCTAAATAGTTTTTAAATTGTATCCACCATGTCTCTATTAAATGTCATAATCACTATAATAATCTAACCAAATATATAGTGCTTTGTATCCTCCACCCTCCTCAATATTATCAACCACATAACATCTACCTTCCACTAACCATACACACATTTCTTCTCTTAGTTGTCTTGTGAAAAAAAATTCACTATACGTGGATCCTTAAAAACATATTTAGGGATCATATCCTTTAATGATGTTTGTTTCATTTTCAACATAAAAAAAATTTCCTTAACTAACCACCTATTATATGACCTTGTCGGTTGTATAGTTTACACAAGTCTTTCTCAAACACAAAAACCTTTGCTTTTGTCCAAACCACTACTCTCATCTTCCATTGGTAGATCTTGTTTTCCTCTTAAAATAAACCATTTAATTTCTTAGTATATACATATATAACTTCAATCTTTTCTTCAAACCAATCAATCAAAATGCTTTATTTTCTTATATCTTTGGTATCCTTTCTTATGATCCTTTCAAAATCATTTACAAATAAACCACTTTCATCAAATGGGACAAAACTTGTTTCAAATGTGTTTTGTGGAAAGCTTTTTAGTTTTCTAGCTTCTAGGATCAAAACAAGAACTAGTTTTCAAGCTTTTAGTTTTATTCAACTTTCTCTTTTCATTCAATCACCAAACAAGAGTTTGGTACTATCTAAATTTGAAGAGAATCAAAGAAAAGTTTCTCTCTTGGATTTGCATGATTTGCCACTAGATTGCATCCTTGGAAAGCTTTCACCAAGTGAATTATGCAATGTGGCAAAAGTTTGTAAATCTCTTAGAAAAAGTTGTAGAAGTGATTATTTATGGGAGAAGCATATGAAGATGAGATGGGGTAAAGTGTTTGGTGATGCTGCTTATAGAGAATGGAAATGTTATGTAGCTTCAAGGAACATAGAGAAGAGATTAAATCAACACAAGAATCAGAAAAACATACTTCATGATTTTCTTCACTTGTTTTGGATTAAATCAAAAGCAGAAAAAGATATGAAGTTAAAGCTAGATGATTCTATTGCTTCTCTTTATCTTTCTCTTGAGAATGGAAATTTTTGGTTCCCTGCTCAAGTTTATAACCGTGAGGTAATAATTGGTTGCATGAAGATACTTTTTTTTTTTACTAGTTATGGTTTTCTAAATTAATCTCTTAATAAGATTTTGTTGTGTAATTGTTTGACACATTTTTCAGAATGGTCATGCTGGGTTTATGCTCTCATGTTATGATGCTCAACTTTGCTATGACTCTAGAACTAATACTTTTCAAGCAAGGTATGTGAAAAAGTTGACTCATTCAATTGTTACTTGAGTTTAGGTCTCACTCTAATTCTTTTTCTACCTGTCCTATTGTCCTTTTGTTTTAACTTTGAACTCAACCAATGTTTTAAAAATCATACCGAAGATTGAATCGACGTGGTTTTATGGTTAAGGTTCGGTCGATTCAACTATGACAATTTTTTTATATGAGTTCATGTTTTTTCGTTGCAAGGTATTCACCTCATGGTAGATGGACAATAGAGGAAAACATAAAATGGGAGAGGCTAAGAGTGCCACCTATTGACTCTTGTTCACATGTTCTTCATATTTCTGATTGCTTAAATGATTTAAAGCCCGGTGATCATGTTGAAATCCAATGGAGAAGAAATAAGGAGTTCCCTTATGGTATGTTCCATCCTTCTCACATTTTCAATTAAGTCATTATTTTACGTAGAAATTGAATATCTTCTGCGCACAACTGTTGAAATTAATCTCTCGACTCGAGAAAAATCACAATGGATTGCCACACTCTTTACATAAATATTTTAATTAAGTACTTGTAACAAAACCACTTATCGAAATAAGAGATTTTGTATAGGTTATGTTTGATTATAATCATCATTGCACTAATTTAAAAAAAAAAATGTATCGTTGTAGGTTGGTGGTATAGTGTGATTGGTCATTTGGAAACATGTGAAGGAGAAGGAAACCATTGTCAATGTGACAATAAAGGTAAGAATAATATATCCACTAGCCCACATTTGAATTCTTGTGCTTTTAATTTTTCACTTGATTGTATCTTTGTAGCACTAAATTAAGAATGTTAATTAACAGATATAGTGATTTTGGAGTTCAGACAGTACACAGCTGGTTCAAGATGGAGAAAAACAATGATAAATAGAAAGAATCATAGAGAAGAAGGAAATGAGATTGAAGGTTTTTATGGAGGGATCAGAAAGTTACATAGCAAGGAGGAAATTACAAAGTGGAAGAAACTTTGGCCAACAAAAAATGTGGAATAGCATGGCCAATAATAGCTTTAGAACTTTGTAAATCTACTCCTCCAAATTCTTAAAATGTGAATGTGAAGATTTGAAGGATTAGATTTTTCAAAGAATGGTAAATGGTGAGGGAAAAATAATTGGGGCTGGAAATTGGCCCATGATTTCACAATTGTGCTTACAAAGTAGTCATCGTGTTTTAATTGTAATTAGTAGGATAGTGGTGCGTTCGCACGAGTAATTTGTTTCTAAAATATAATAATAATGAAAAGAAATAAAAATAATATTGTATTATTAAAATAGTGTATTATATTGTTAAAAACTATATATTTTTATTTATATTTAGATCATAAATATAATTTTTATATATATAAAAACATGTTTTCGCATATGTAAATATTATTTTTTGTTGATATTATTTATAAAATATTTGGTTATAAATACATCGTTGAACTGTTCGCGCATTTGTTTTTAAAATATAATAAAAATAATATAAAATAAAAACAAAATTGATTAGTTAAATTTTTTTATTATTTTAAATATTGTTCTGGACTGCGCCCGTCCTGGCCCAAAAGCAAAGACAAAGGCCCAATCCAAGCAGCTCCTTGAGGAATGCGCGTCCGTGGATTCCCGCCAGCGCGCCCGACCACAGACTGCAGCCGTGCCCGTCGTTACCCGCGATACATGGTGTCCCCGACCACGGGAACTCCAGCTCGAGCCCAGCTCGAGCACCCTCCTCGTAGGGCAGATTCTGACCGTTACCAAATCATCTGAACTCCAGAAAGACCGCGTCTTCGTCCCTCCTCATTTCTCGGAGAGCATCACCAGGAAGGGGACCACGTGCGGGTCCCCACTACACACGTAGAATCTGACAGTTCCGTTGTTGGGCCAAATCTGATCGGCCCAATGAGGGGACCTTGGCCCCCGTTGGAGACTATAAATACCCTTTGTTCCTAGAGGGTCAGGTATTCATCTCTTACGCATACATACATTTTTTGTCTGCTCATTCCATTACTCATTTTAGCATCGGAGTGTCTTGCAGGTACCCCCATCTCACTCAAGTTCTGCCCGGAGCCAGTCGTGACGGTCCAAGTCTGATCAGGTAAGATCAAATATTTATATTAGATTATGTATAGTAAAAAGGTGAATAAAAATAATTATTTTAATTTAGTGTTTTAAGAAGTGATAAATTATAATTTAGTTAAAAATTATTTTCTATAGTCGATCAAAATCATAAAAAATATTAATAATAATAAAAATATTAAGTTGACAAATAAAAATCATATATTAAATCATTACAATCCTCGTAAGCCATTAAAAAATTTAAAATATTAATAATAACAATTTAAAGCAAAAATATCGCTCATTAAATTTGTTAAATTTGCTGTGCTCTAATCATTCTATAAAAATATAGTCTCAAATAATAATTATTTTAATAATTATCTAAACCTAATTTCATATTACATTAAATTATTGAACAATTACAATAAAAAACTGAAAATTTTATATTTGAATAAAACATGTTTTATCTAAGGGTACACATCAATATTCTTTCAATAAAGTACTATTTTTATTTATAATAATCTTGTCTTATTTTTTATGCAAAACTATCCATTTTTCAATGATTTAATAATATCTATGTCATTTTTATATTTTTTTTATTTGTATATTTATTAATTAAGACAAAATGATGAGAATATGAAAGAGTGAATGCCAAATTTGTTTCAATTTTTTTTAATGTATTAAAGATTTAATTGTAGATAAATTAAATTTTAAAAAGAAACTTTAAAATTATATCCATTTACCCTATCAGATCAAGTAACACTTCTGGCTTAATTTTATTATGTCAATTTAAAAATCATTAACCATAAAATATTTACTTTAAGTTAGAACTTTTTAGCCCTTAAAATTATTTACTACCATAATGAATAAATGTCTTTTAAAACCAGAACTTATTATGCTTATTATTTTTTCCAAGTATTTAGCCTTCTTTACGGTATTTTTATTGTTTTTGTTTTTAATTTGATTAGAACTTATTGGATTCTTAATTTTTATTCTTATTATCAGTCAAATACAACCCAACCTTGTAGGAAACCTCATGCTCAAAGATCATATGCTAATCTGACTCTTTACGATTTATCTTAAGATTTTGTCCCTCCATCACAATTTTCTTACGCTACACCTATAACCACGAATATTTGTGCACCTCATTTGAATAGAGAAGCAATATGTTTTGATCACATATGAACAAGTAATAATGGATCCTTACAAAATTGTTTGGACAATTCCATATCACATTCGATTACTAACATCGCCTTGCAGTCCCAAAATAGTAAATAGATGACAATAATCATGAAATGATGAACATGTTAAGCAAGAAGATGGCTACAATGTTTGATCCAATCATATAAAAGTCTGTTGTAACTTATCAAATACAACTCATTGTTGGACATGTGACTCCATACACAAGCGGAAGGGTGGATTTTTTAGGTTTGAAAAATGTTGGTTGAAAACAAAATCATTTGAAAAATCAGAGTTAGAAAATATTTGCAAACAAATAAGTAAATATGCAACAGAAAAAAAATAGATGAAAAAGCATAGGAAAGAAAATAAATTAAAAGAGATAAGGAAAAGAGAAATACATCAAAGATTTATACATGTTATGTCTGATAACTTCGCCTACTTATGTCCCCAAGAATTATTATTGAGAGTATCTAATATCTTGGGAGCTATCAATAAGATATGTCCGCGAACCTTCTCTTACAAGGATATATATAAAGTTTTTCAATGGCTAACTTCCAAGCAAAATAACAAAAATAGTTTAGAGCGACTATCCTCCAAATTAAACAGAGATTTTACACGGGATGATCTAGATTCAATATGGAGTCTTACACTAGCTATCCTTCGAGTCGAACCTGTTTTTTATACGGATTGGCCTCCGAACTGAGATGAGACTTTACACGGGTAATCTCAAACTAAGATGAGATTTTACGCGGGTTAATCTCGAACCAACTAAGCTTTTACACCAGGTGAAATCATGAACCAAAATGAGATTTTATACGTGCTAATCTCGAACCAATTGAGCTTTTATATCGGGTTAAGCTCATGAAACATTGTGGAGATTTTGATGTTTGGTCTTTACGAACCAAAAGAGAGATTTTGATACAGGCAAAACTCGCGAACCAAACAGAGACTTCCTAAGACTTTCCCTAAATCAAACAAGAGTTTTTACTAGTTTAGCGCCCAACCAAAAAACTTCTTATAGGAGCATACTTTTATTCAAGAGATAATACACTTTTGGTAAATTATAATTAAACACTCTCTTGGGTGAGAATATAGTGTAAGAAAATAGTCTAGAGGGGGTGAATAGACTTTTTAAAATAAAGCTCAAGCGATTTTTCGAAAATGAAATATCAGAGGTTTTTCAGAGTATCTGCGTGGAAGTATTAGAGCGAAATAGAGTGAATAATACTTGAATAGAAATTAACTCACATAAACACGTAATCAATGTACAATAATCACAAATTGAATTAATAGTGATATACAAGGTATTCAATCTATAACATTAGTATAATTCACGATAGATGATTATACAATGATTCAATTCGCGAATTCTAAACTCAACAAGTTTCTCGGAATTTAATCTCTAGTAAACCTCGATTAGGTCCCAATTCCAACAAAACCTAATCATAAGCAATAAACTGCTAGCAATACAATAAATGATAAAATACTCTATGAATTGAAAAACCTGGGCATGTAATATACTATGAAATATTAATTCAAGATTAAAATATAGAGAGGTGACACCATGATTTATAGTGCTTTGAATATGTCTTCCTCGCGTGAGTCTACATGCACTCTTCAATGGTTTCCCATTGGAACATGCATAATTCCATTATTTTAACAAATATTAAAAGAGCTCATACAATCACTTATCCATAATAATGCTAAAGAAAATAAAACTTCAATTATGGATCACCACTTGTATACAGTTTCACACCAAACTCTTGTGTGAAATCTTTACTCAATTGACTTTTCTAAATCTTCCAATATCACAAATTCTACTCCAAGCCTTCATTTGTAGCAATCAACACTTCGATCCTACTGATTCCTTGAGCGGAGAATTGTTTGAATATCTGAGAAGAACTCTGCCTTATTCGTAGCCTTCCACACAGTCACTACTAAGGAAATCTGGAGAGAAGAACCTCCTTTTCACTGGAATTTGTCAACACCAGTGACAACTCCTCAAACTTTCAATAACCTAAAAATTCTTTAACCGATCTCCAAGAACGATTATTTTCAAGACAATTCCTCCTCCAATCAATCACGTATCTCTCATGATCAAGATCTGAAGTACAAATTGAGGTTGAAGAAAAAAATTCGAATGCAATAACTTTGAAATTTTCAAAGTGAGTGATTTCACATAAAATTTCAAATGAATATGAAATTCCTCTTATGAAAAAATATTGACAAAATATTATATATGTGCTTGAGTTTAAGCACAAAAATAAGTGGTAAAAAATAGTTAGATTCAAAACAAGAACAATGCATGCATTAAGTCAAATGAGCAAGTTAATGGAATAAAAACAATTCTAATTGTGTACCCATTTTTCAATTGATTTGAATCAAGTACAATGTATGATTTGAATCAAAGACCACGTGATTTAAATCATGTACAAACTTTGATTTAAATCAACTACTCCAAACCCTTAAGAAAAATGTTGAAAAACTATGTGATTTGAATTGTGTACAAAGTATGATTTGAATTAAATTGAGCATAGGTGACTGAAAATAACTTGATTTGAATCATGTACAAAACCGGATTCGAATCAAATTGTTTTGAAAGGTTTGTGTTCACCCCTGTTGGATTTGATTCGAATAATAATGAGTGTGTATTTTGATTGATTCGAATCAAACACTCAAAAACTCATTTTTCATGATTCAAAAAGTACTTTGAGATTTTTCTTTGCACCTAACTTAAATAAAACATATATAGTTTTTATTCCACAAACTCATGCAAT